ATGAAGTTCTGCTCTTTTTTCGGCCGCTGATGTTTGAGTATCTTGAGCCAGAAGATCTAGTGAGTGTGTCCTCTGTTTGTCTTGCATGGTGGCGTTTTGTATTTCAAGGACACAAGTCAACTACCCAAGCATTGCAACATTGTGAACAACTCCATTAAGCCGACATAGGAAAGCTGTATCAGAAAGTGCCGCTTTCTTTCTTCTCAAAGTTGACATGGTTAAACTCAAACAGGACTGCCATCTCTTCAAACGATTTTCTTAAACTTGTTGGCATAGCAAAACATCTTGAGACGCTGAACATCGAAAGCTGTATGGAAATATCTGAAGAAGCGATATTCAAGGCCAAAGGGTCTCTTCTTTGCTTGAGAAACATAAACATTTCCTTCAAAGAGCAGTTCAGCGTTCTTGTTGCTACTTGTCTGTGTTCTTACTACTCTGTACAAGACATTCGTGCCACAAAGCTAGACGAAAAAGAAGCACTATTTCTAACAAAGACATTCCCGCGACTTGGAAATGGACGAATTACTTTAGACATTGGTTCAGCGGGAGGAGAATATTTTTTTGATGCTGTGAACATTTTGTCAGATTTTGATATTTTTGAAGATTTCTAGCGAATAGTTACAGTCTAATGCTGACATCAAGAAAAACATTTGCGCAAATCGCGCAGGGATGAATGAAGTTACATTTTACATTTGTTATTGTTTTGTTTCGCTGAAGGAAAACGCGCTAAAAGGTGTCAGATTTTTGCGCGAATATTTCAGCCAGTGATGTTACATGTAAATGACATTTCTGTCATTCTGGATAGGAAACATGACAGAGATTATGAGCGCACAATAGAGATTTATAAACTTTGTAACTTTACTCACGTACAATTTCGCTGAAACTTCAAAGGTTACTTGTTACGTTAATATGTGTATAATGTGTTAAATTTAGCTTTCCAATCACACTGCAAGAATTATTTTTCGGAGAATGCTTGTTTGAATTTCGCGCTAATGTGTCCTTAACCAATAAAAATTTTGTTACTAATCCAATTAGAACTTGATCGGCCTAAACATCCAACGGTTCCCGGTGTCGAGGCCTATTGTTTTCTCTTTCCGTCTTAGCCAAAGCGTTTAATTATTAAAATAATTAGAGAACCCCCCTCTTTAAGCAAAGTGCGACAGATTGACGCGTCAGTTCAGTACGTCACGCTCCAGTACCGTGGAATGCAGCGCAAAGCCTTACTCAGCCCCCAGGCTAAATAGAATTAAACAAGTCCTTACTTGTATACATATTTTTAAAATTGTTGTTTAGTCGTGACAAGATTTTTCTAGTCCTTATGCATTTTTCTTAGCAAAATAGATAAAGCCCTGTCTTTTACCCTGCAACACAACGTTAATGGCTTTCCGTAATACAGAGGGTCCACAATAGGGTTCTCAGATCCCGCTTTCCCGCCCATTTTCTCCTGTTAATCCCGCCATCCCGCCATCCCGCCATTTTTTACCTGGAAATCCCGATCCCGGCCACTTTTCAAAGACGTTTCTGCGTTAATTATTAATTTGTTAAATTAATAATTAATTTAATTACTAACACAGAAACCTTTTAAAAATAGACATCGCATAAAAGATCACAAAAGAATTCAATGGCTAGCAGATAAGTAAGAACAATAAATTATAACGTTTCTTTCTGTAAACGGTTTACTGTTTTGCTTTCTTTTGTTTACGTATCAGTGAAAGAAAATGATTGTTCATTCCCATATTCAAGAGATGACCCGTAAACACACTTGACAGTTTCTTTCAAAGCTTTCAGCATCTTCACCTTCACTCAGCTATACGCACAAAAGGTTCGTTTCTGCCAGCTTGTGGCTTTTGTGCTGGTCAATAACAATTTATGTGGTAATGTAAGAATTGAAATCCCGTATCCCGCTCTGTTCCCCTTGCGAATCCTGCGTCCCAACCCCATAAAAACACGAAATCACGCTCCCGCTCGTAATTGTAATTTCCGCTTCCTGCCCTTGTTTTCTGCTCAAATCCCAACTATCACCGCGAAGAAAAGCCAAATCCCGTATCCCGCCAAACCTATTGGGGACCCTCTAATACAAGCAACTGTCATAACTTTATGCATAACAAAGACTTTTAAAATTAGATTATGAGCCAGAGATTTCCATCGCGTGATAGCTGACGAGTCGGCGTAGCCCAATCGAGTCAGCTGGCACGCATAGAAATCGGGAGCGAATGATCTAATTGTTTTAGTATAAATGTACTCTTATCTAAATTCTTGTCGCAGACACTTCCAAAACGCAAAATGTCATTTTGTTAACAACCGCACACTGCTAAGCTACTCACTCAATATCTACAACAGTTTATTTAATAAGCCAAGTTATTCTCGCATTTTGATTGGTTCAAGAAAGAAGCCTTGCACCCTTTCACAACTGTCTAGTCATGGGTTTGAATCGAGTTCAAGCTTGAAACTTTTTTCAGGCTTTATTTTAACAGGTGCTTATGTTGTGTACCCAACTGTGATGATCTTTATGTCTGTACATCTTTCTCTACAGTCCTATTATATCTTTCATTTATGACATGGCTCAGTCGGTCTAGGGTGAAAAGGAGAATTCTGATTGGTTGTATGAACAGTGTGAACTTTGCAATACGGACCGCTAATGGACCGCTCACGGACTGATTTCGACAAATTGCGTTTTTAATTTCATCGCACAAAAATAAACAGTTTTTTCTTAAGTATAAATCATTTTACCTTCATGTTTGGAGGACAATTTCATTTGAATGTCCACAAAAGCAACGTGAAAAGCGTCAATAAATGCTTAGCTTTCGCGGCGCGTTTACTGACATTTTGACGTCTTCTGTGACTGGGCAAAAGATAAGGTTCAAAAAAGTCTTGTCGAAGCATTGAACAGGTACGAGAAGCATAGTTTAACAGGAAGAAGAAAGATAAAGCCGTTTGTTTTTTGGAAAATGACTCAGAAAAAATACTCGAGCAGTCTCAGTCGGCAGTCGAGCGAGACTCAACCAAACACAAAATTGGTCTTGGTAAACCGAGAACCATTACTTTATCTCGCATTTAACAAACCCAATAAACAAAATGTTTATGAGATTAATTTATTTTAAAAATTCAACTTTTCTCAGTCTCAAAATAACACTGATTGATGTCAGGAATGAAACACCAAAACATCACTTAACCTTGCTTTCCGATGCGAATGTTCCAGTCCGTTTCAGGGCACAGCAGCGAGCAAAGTATAGCTCACTACAGCTCACGGCCAACTGTATCGTCGCAGCTAAAAGGTGTCTCCGACACTATTTCAAACTGATTTGAGAATCACCAACCACAGAGGACACAAATTTCCACCGTCACCAACGCTCCTTTCATTCTGTGCGTATTTTTTCAACTCCTGCAATATTCAAGGCAACGTCCAAGCTTTTCGACTCACAGGGCTGCTCTGATGACAAAAACTGACTTGACTTATCCAGCATTTTCTTCAAGATTTGTAGATTTTGCAGTTCAATTCTACTTTCGCTGTAAGTTTTCATTCCACGCGAAGCCACGCTCGAGTCAAGTTTGACAGTGGCGTGATTTTCCTGGACCAATCACAATTCTTCGCAACGCATAGCAACCAATGAGTTTACTTCATTTTGTATAGACAATAGATTACGTCACATGGCATTTTTCGTGTTCGCCAAAGTGGGCAAAGGCCAACTTTCGAGTTATGTTGAAAGATTTTGAAATAAAAAAGCTTTATCTGTAGTAGTAGTTTATTTCGTTATTATATTTAAGCAATAGGCTACAAGTTTTTATGGTTTATAGGCTGATAAACCATGCGGGATGTTGGAAGAACAACAAGTGGTTTACCATGCCTCTAAACCGTAGAAACTTGTGGTGTATTGCTTTTATAAAATAATTCAGAAGACAAGCGAAATTTCCCTGAGTTTACTGGCACAACAAACCGTAGCTGATCGACCAATCAGAGCGCGCGCATTCATTTAATTATTATATAAAAAACAAATAGATTCCGCGTTGCCGTGCGTCTGTTCAGTAATAGATCATTATTTCTTGTGCGATGAAATTTAAAACGCAATTGGCCGAAATCAGTCCGTGGGCGGTCCATTAGCGGTCCGTATTGCAAACTTCACACTGTTCATACAACCAATCAGAATTCTCCTTTTCACCCCAGACCGACTGAGCCATGTAATAAATGAAAGATATAACAGAACTACAGAGAAAGATGTACCGAAATAAAGATCATCACAATTGGGTACACAACATAAGCACCTGTGAAAATAAAGCCTGAAAAAACTTTCAAGCTTGAACTCGATTCAAACCCATGACTAGACATCTGTGAAAGGGTGCAAGTCTTCTCTCCTAAAAGAGATGGCTGTAAAGTGAAAATATTGCGATTCAAAAGAGGAGTAAAATAAAGTAGATGATTTTATGAAACAACGATCTACCGTGATTGCTCACAGGTAGTATTTTAGACCTCTTCAGATCAATTTTGAGAACAACCAACCAACAGCTGAAAAAGCAGTTTTCGCGTACAGTTCGCGAAAAAGCATTTACAACGTTGTAAGGTTCAAACTTTGTTATGAAGCAAAAATCTAAGAAACGAATATTTTGTTTCAGTGGCTCTGAACTTTATTTAAGTGTCAATAAATATTTAGCTCTAAGCTAAGAGCTCATTGGGAACACTTAATTAAAAGTTAAAAATTGAACAATAAATAAACATAAAACTGAATATATAACCACCATAACACAAATTTTTGAGAACCCGACCTGTCCTCCATGGATTGGAAATCGTTATTGATAACTTATAAAACTGAATAACCACTATAAAACAACTGTTTTAGAACCCGACCCGTCCTCCATGGATTGGAAATCGTTATTGATAACTTATAAAACTGAATAACCACTATAAAACAACTGTTTTAGAACCCGACCCGTCCTCCATGGATTGGAAATCGTTATTGATAACTTATAAAACTGAATAACCACTATAAAACAACTGTTTTATGTGAACGCCTTGTGTAATGTTGTGGCCCTCTAAGTTGGCCAGTATTCGCTTCCAGACTGTACAGGCCACCTTGGGAACCGTACAGTATACAAGTTTAGACTTCTCCAGCACAATAAAGTTTGAGAAATCGAGATCTTTTTCACTTGAATCTTTTCCATATTCCGCACAATATTCCTGAATCTTTGTTGTAGCTTCCTTTTGTCTGGAAGTCATTTGGATTAAGAACCTATCCTGGAATACCTGCAGTGAAACATGAAAAAATATATTCCATTATTCAAGTGAATAAGTACTTTTCGATCAGAGTTTTAAAATGGCTGGCCTGCAGGTCTTCACCTGGGTGTTGCTATGCAACACGACTTGTCCGCACGCGGCAAGGTTCTTCTCTTTTACCACGGAATCAAAGCAATTAGAAACAGCTGATGTCGTATCTGCAAACTACCATATCTCCTTTATATTGACTGAGAGAGATTGGAGAGTTTTAATGTACCCCATCGTTTTAGCTTGACACAGCTACGATGAGATAAAATACGAAACACAAACAAAACATTTTGAAACACTCGAAAAAAAGTAATTTCGATCGATACTTTGGATCAACGGAACATGGCAACAGAAACATGATAGAAACATTTCTATCAAATTTTATTAACTCTGTTTTAAAGTTGTCTAAGATTATGATGCCCGGAAGGGCAAAAGCGACAAAATTGTTTTTAAACACGTGACAACGAAAGTATGGTTGGCTGTTCTTTAAGTAAACAATTTAAAATTCTTTTCAGAGTTGCAAACAAAAGTACGATTCAAAGAGCGGACTTTAAAATGAAATCGGAA